TCTTTTGTTTAATGTTGCATGTAGAATTTTCATGAGGATTGATTGGAATTCCAAATCGAGAGTGCGCAGTTCTTCCACCTGGTAACAATAGCGATGCAATACCGCTTGAAGCAACATTTAACACGATATGTCCCCTTGAACGTATAGAGGCGGACAAAGTTTTCCAAACAAATGTCTTTCCAGTTCCGCCATATCCGTAAATGAAAAAGACCTTCCCCTGACCCCCATCAACAGACGCCATTATTGTTTCATAAGCTGAACGTTGTTCGTTGTCAAACTCCCTCATCATCCTTTGATGTTCTTCCTTTAAGGCAAGGGGATCATAATTCAATTCGTCAAGAATTAGTCTGTTCCGAGATGTAGAAGCAGCATCTAATTTTGGAAATGGCATGTCAATGAAATCTCGAAGGCTCTTTGCTCGCATCCTCAATAAGCACTCTATCTCAATCAAGGCGTAATTCTTTATTTGATCTTCACTCAAGAATAAATCTGTGCATCATAATGGTAAATATATTGGGAATAGTTGAATTATTTAAAAAATAAACTATTAGTAGATATTTACCTTGATGACTCATAAGAGTTCTTTGACGATATAAGATGTCATGAGCCATGTAATTCCAACAATGTTCCCATACATGCTTAGGCCTCGACATTGACTCGTTTGTCAACAGTGTGACAAATAGAAATCTCAACTGTTTGGCAGAACACCATTCACTTGCTTCCTTGAAAGCATCGATATACTCCCTATCATCGTCTAGTAATCCCATGGCATAGCATGTGTCACGATAGGTTTCATGAACAACACCATTGACAGTTCTCAAATCTTCGTACGAAGTTGGACCCCTAACTATATTTAGAAGAATCATCATGTAATAAGATTCACCTGACCCAGGGGGGACGTATATAACACGTCCGATAGAAAATCCTCTAAGTCGAGGTTCATACTCTCTTTTAGCTTGTTTCCAAACGAATTTTTGAGGAAACTCAGCATACGTTAAAGCTCTTGCATCGTGATACTTTTCATTGGCCTTCATCTAAGCTAGGAATTTACTTTCACGTATGCTTTCTCGTGTATAAACATCACCTGCATCATCATCATCTTCAAAGAAAATCCATTGCTCACCAGGCAGGTGGAAGCTCAAGCGTTCAACATTAGGACATTTAAATTGAATTGAAAATCCAAATATTCGCCATGTTGCCTCGCAAGGGGATATGTATCTGCAATCGTAATAGAGCTTAATTTCATTAGGAGTTTCTGCACTTTGATTCACCTTTATTTCTGTGCTTGCATAGAATCCAGCTGTAACACCGTCGTTGCCTTTGTTGATATATTTAAACAAATATTTGATCGAACGCGATTGATTGCACCATTCCACATTGAGGTGAGCCCCATACTTGAGCAAGAGATATCAATTATGCGGGACCACAAATCTATTATCTAAATGAACATTGTTCTTCATTATTGTTCGGCCATCATTCCTTCTCCGATATTTTGGGTAACCATCATCATCAATGATGGTGTTGTCGTTGAATAAATTTGGAAAGTACTTAGAGCACTTTCCATCCTTCATGCAAGGAGATCTGGGTGCATCGCTGCCACACGGTCCATGAATCATAAAGTCTCGAA